GTGCACGTGATCATTTGGAATTTTCCTCTCCCTTCGAAAGCAGGTAGAATTCCACAGAGGTAGCGACTGCACCATTTTCGCTGCGTAAAAGCGAGCGAGGAGGGCGGAGATACTGTCGTCCTTTCATCGGCCCTACCTACTTTCATCCCACCCTACTCGATCAGAGTATCAGAAGACCTGCCAAAGGACAAAGGCAGGGACATTAGCGGACACGGAATTATCTGTGGTCCATAGTTGCGGTGACCATATCGCCCACCACATCATTCGCCAGGTGATCTCGTCCGATCACACCCTTTGATCGCCCACTGCTCGTGCAACAGCGCTTGATACGGGATTTTATTCGGAACATTTCCATGCAATTTCTTACTTTTTTCTTCAACATACTGGCAATGCTGTATGAGCTTCGCTACCCCTAATATCTGGTCCCGGGCATTGCCTTAAATGTGCCACTTCAAAAAAAAATGCAGCTTGCCCACTGAACACCCAGATCCTTTTATACAGCAGAACAATTCGAAAACTTTCCAATGGGAATCACACTATTTATTGGCTGTCAGAGTATCCTTTACCATTATCCCGTTGATTGTGTGCGTGCACATGTGGGTGCGTGCACGGGGACAAAAATTCATAGCTTTGAACGCCCACGGCGTGGCAAAATAGGTGCTGCACATGGGGTGACGAACGCAGCACTTGCACCAGGACTCAATCCACTTATGAAGAAGTACAGCGGCGTGTCGACTTCCTCAACCATTTCTGCTTCTTTTTCTTCCAAACTCTTTTTGAGTCTGTGTCTGTATTGTCAAGCAGCTAAGTGAAGGGCGGAGCGTTAGTTTTGCCGGCGTGAAGCGTTACATCCCAGCCGCGGCGAAACAGCCGTGACAAGCGGCGGATGTGACTAGCGCGCTCACGTAGCAGTGCTGCCGACTCTCTCGACTTTCACTGCGTCTGCGCCTCTCAATACTTCGAGCTCCTTCTTTGCTACGTCTATCCACTAAACTGGCTAGGAAGTGCTTTGGTAAGTCGCGTGATGCCACAACTGGGAAGTATGTAGCGCCACACCCTGCTTCCCATTCGCGGCATTGTAGTGCGAGTCGACTTGGGAGAGACGATGGACGAGCAGTGCAGCCGCCATGCTGAGTAGATTCGATCGTTTCTATATGCTGTATACCTCACCCACCTTGCAACACCCATTTCGCCGCACTCGCCGCGACTGTGACGTAACGCCCCACACACGCTAGGAAATCACTGCGAAGCATAATCATACTCCCACCCATGAATCTCACAAAATCCTGTCTTACACGAAATTTTCTCTTACACAGAATTTTTCAAAAATGACTCCGTACAGAAAATGTGGTAATTACCAATACCAATTCGCATGCCAACACCAAACTCTAGCTTGAAAAAACAATTTTTTTTCGTCAATTTTTTCAAAAATGGTCGTTCTGACAACGCAGCAAAAGTATAGTTCCACCGAACAAATCGAATATACCAATAACAAGTGTACAATAAAATGAATAAATTTTGATCCAGTAATCTACTGGAACTCTATTTCTCTAACTAAGTTGGAAAATACGGTTGCCCATGTTCGATTAGAGATTTTAAGAGGCTTTCGGCGTGCATTACTCATGATCATACGCACCATGAAGCCCCACATCCTCGATTGGGTTTTAGTCGGGGCTACTCGCTGGCCAGGGCAAAAGAGCGGTTTGGTGACGACTGAACCACGCTCGAGTGCTTCGACTGTCATGAACTGGTGCATTATCCTGCATGAAAACGGACTTTCTTGCTGATTTCTACGCCAGAAAGCAAGGAGACGTTGTCGCATGACTTTTAGATGACGGAAGAAATCATTTCTTTTTTCATACGGAGCGCAGTTTCAGACGTTCCATTCATGCGATGGCAGCCCAGACCATGAGACCACTTCCGCCCAGGAAATGAAACTTGTCTTTCCTCAGGTCGTGCCAGCGGAATCGGTTTTTGTCGGAATCGTCGCAGTTGGATTTTTCTCATCAGAAAACACGACCGCGAAAAAAAAACTGAAAAAACAACACAGACAAGCAGTAGGGCACCGCAGCCAAAAGCTAACCTCACTCCATTGGGTTCGGCAACATCTTCGAGCAAAGCCAATTAGGTTTTCGCGATGGTTTTTCGTTAGAAACAGTGCCGTAACTCATATTCCCCTATGGGTGAACTTGGGAGTTTTCCAAGACACGCCTAACAGTATCCTCCGAGACATTAACCTGCGAAGATGACTTGATTTCCCGACACGACACTGCAGAGTTGGATGCTTTCCTAAGGATACGGCGGTTATTCCGATCGGCAGCAAAGAAGGATGTCCAGAGCTCTTCTCAGCTCAATATCCTGTAGGTCCCTTGGAAAAAATTGTTGATAGCATGATGAGTGCGGCCCGCATCCCGCGCCATTCGACGATTCACCAGTTTTTGAGTCTTCTTTGCGATAATCTGTCCTTTTTCGAGGTCCATTAATGAAGTTCCACTTGCCATAGCCTAGAAGAGGCAAGAAGTCATAATGATGAGAAGTTTCACCGAACAAAAATGAGATGCAGCCGGAAAATATGCGGTGGAACTATACTTTTGCTTCGTTGTCAGAACGACCATTTTTGAAAAAAATTGACGAAAAAAAATGTTTTTTTGAAGCTAGAGTTCGGTGTCTGGGCACGCAATGGTATTGTAATTACCACATTTCCTGTATGGGGCATTGAAACAGTCGTTGTAAGAAGGGATTTTGGAATTTCATGGTGGGACTAAAGATTATGTCGCAGTGTACTTGTATGCCGATGATGTCGCTGATCTTGGAATAACGCTTACCACACGAACGTCCCACATAGTCCATGCCTTTGAGCGTTTACCTTATGGTACAAATTACGTAGGCTCTACCTTGATACTTCCGTATCAACTTATAGAGTTGTACGTACAAGTTCTCGCAGTCTTTTTGCAGCTCTTCCGTTTTTCGACCTTAATGGCAATCTTCCGAGGAAAACTCATCAGCAATATAGAAACTGAGGGTCGTACTTTTGATCGAGTCGTAAAGACTTTGATCAACTCGAGTTTCCATATTTCGACCCATCATTGTGGAACTAAGCAGTGCTCCGATTCCTCCTGATGGAGGAGGGCATGGTGATGTTTCTTCAAGAAGGTGTATAATCCTGAATGGACTTTTGTATTGGGGTTATCAGTAGTCACTGATTCAACCAGTAAAGTAAAGTAGTAGGTCGTAGAGTGAAAAACAGAAAAAAATAGGAATCCTCCCAAAAAACATCTTCGCTCAAGCCAGTCCCTCAATGAGGAAAAGCAGCGCGCCCCAATTGGCATAGTGGGAGTCCAGCGTAAATGAAGTGTAGTAGAGGGGTAGACGGGAGGGAGCGTTTTTAAAGGTAAGAGGTGCTTCTTCGAAACTCTAGGGAACATTGTGCCACTTAGAGTAGTCGAGATAATGAAGCTCAGGGAACCGTCGTTATTCCAATACAGCACTATCAAACAACAGTACAGTAACGCGTATACTGCGCTGAGCAGTTAGATTTCATGGAGGAATTCTAGTTTACGCGAACATCCAGAAGGTCCCTAATAATCATACCTGACGACGTAGTCATTTGATTCCTCGGAGCCTTCCTGATTTGGCAAATCTAGTAGCTTCCAGTACTGCTTTTCCATAATGACAACCTTAACGGAATGCGGTTGACATGACTTGAACGTATTGCATTCATGATGAAATAAAAAGTGTGTAGATACAGTTGATGTCGTCTCAGCCAGTCAGGGCGGTGTCAAGAGGCAACGAATGGCCCATCCGCGGTGTTTTCAGTGGTGGTTCTTTTCTTTCTGATCGCCAACCGATCGCTATTGGTAGAAAGTCAGTCTGAGACAACTCACTCCCCTCTTCTTGACATCGCCTCGACTGGTTGTGACGATATCAGCCACAAATGTCTCCTAATAAATGTTGCGGTAAGTTCGCAGTTGCCCGCAACTGCTATCTGATAGATTGAACTAAAATATTACCATAGATTGTTATATGTTGTAAGGTGCACTTTTTATTTTGAAATTTTTCATATCGCACATTCAACCGGGTCCTTTTGGTACTATTCGTCTTCACCGTTTTCGCTAAAATACCATGAAGCACCAAATACAACTGAATTCTTATCCCAAGGGTTACGTTGACAACTTGAGCACTTTTACCATACTTACTTCGCGCGAAGAAATTTGGCCCATGTGATAGGGCACCGCCATCGAAACTGGCCTGCGACGCTAGGGCGGCTTGTGGGACGGAGCGTGAGCCATAGCGCGTCATCGCTTCAGCCTTGGTTTGCCATTACTCCTGTTGAGAGGCCGATTTATAGTAACCAAAACTGGAGGACAGCGAATCCCGACCAAGGTCTACAACGCGCGAAAATCGCCGACTCCAGTTGTGGCAACTGAACGCTATTTCACGGGTTATAGACAAGACGAGGTGATAAATGTTGTATCTATAACAGCAGTAGGCCAAGAAAGGAATGCGGGGTACATAATATAGCGGTTCCGGTCCAACATTGTAAAGTTTCGTATCAGAATCTGTCATCAATATGCTATCGATTTTTTGCCTAGGAAGAATCAGTAATTTCCAAAGAGGCAGGTTTCATAGTCGCATGCTAAAAAATTCACGGACACCTTCAGCGATCACCTGATTTGTGGAAATCCCTTTCTTCTCCAGCTACCCCGGTCCGCAAGCGTAGAGGTTCGGCCCAAATCTGGCAGCTCCACAGCGAGAGCGAAGTGCATCGTAGAAGATAAAACTCTCCTACTGTGATAAGGTGTAGGCAGCAGCTCCCACTACCTATGAAACCCAGGTGAGCAGGTTGCTGTTGTTTCACAAAAAAGGATTAATTTCTGCCCTCACACGTTCTCTCTTCCCGCCCCACCAGTAGTGTCTCACATCTATCTAATATTCGTCCGGGGATCCTGAGGCAAAGAGTACCCAGCTTTCCGACAGGTAACAGAGTGGTTCCTGGTAGCCTGGTGAGTGAGAATCGGAAATCAGTTAATCAATAGTTGCGTCTTACCTAGGCAGGCACGAGCTTTGGGGTAGGGTCCTTTACACATCAAAATCCCATCTAATAAGGTTACGATGCAAGTGGTTGAAGGCACGGTCGATGAGGAGCTCATTCAGGGGTGTTGAAATAAGGAAGAAAACTCAAGTGACTCATCTATAAAGGAAAATGCCGAAGGGAACGTCGGAAATGCTCTGTATAGGACCACCCCAGTCTCGGACAGCTGTGCAGATAAAAGGCCGAAAGATCACGTGTCTGAATGCGGCATCCAGTGCGGTCATTCTTGCCTAATAGCCTTATGTTCCGGCCAACTCAGACTATGAAGAACATCTTCCTTTCATGCTACTTGTGCGTCGCTTACAGCTGAAAGGCGAGCTTTGAAGGCGGAGTCTGGAGGCGGGAGTCACTGGAAGAAGGGAGGTGTCAGTGAGCAACTTTGCGTGATAAGACTCTTTTAACTGTTACAACTTTTCTTCCGCCAATACATAGGGTTGTCAAACCGCGGACCCACACCCACTTTTTTGCATATTTCATCGCGGACCGCTTCTTCGAACATAACATCGAATGCCGAAAATGGACAAAGAAGAAGAAGAAGATAACTCTCCTATATGGTGATGAGGTGTGGCAGCAGTCCCACTCCTATGAACCCAGGGTGACAGGGTTGCTGTTGTTTCACATAGGATTAATTTCTGCTCTATGTGAAACAACAGGCAACGCCTGTTATACATGGCCCACGAGGTGGTGGCCCCAGAATCACAAAGTTAAAAATCCGGTCCAGAAACTTGTATCCGGAAATTAGCCTGCGAGCTTTTACGGACGTGCCTCCAAATGAATCGCATTCGATGGGATTTGGTCAACTGTTGCATTGAGGAGTGTAGTTTTCTGAAGGGCTGCCAAGACGCACGAGGCGTAACCGATGCGCGAATAAGCGCGCCTCACTCTGGGATGGGTCTTACACTGTTGCCCAGCTTTCAGAAGCGGTTAGCGGATGCTGTATAAATCGTTGAAAGAACCAGCTTGCCGTATTCATTGAAGGCTAAAGGGGGAGTAAGAAGCTAGGAGAGGTTGCGGCGAAAGGATCTCGCCTGACGCGTATTTCTCCTTCCGTGCTCTGCGAGCAGCTGAGTTTCATACATCGGTGACGATCAAGATCAGAAGACGTAGAAATGTTGAACGAATTACAAAATCACAGATAAACGTACATCTCTGACGCTTTGCTGTAGCCTCATATATCGCATAATTGGATTGGTGCCTTTCGACTTTAAATATTCATCTTGTAGTTGTTTCAGGGCGTTTTTCAGTTTTCTGAAAAAAAGGCTGGCTTGTCAGCAGTGACAAATGTTGAATGTCAGCGGAGGCGAGAAATGTATCTTCTCTTGGGCTTGGTTTTTCATCGTTGTACTTCAATTCATCTAAGTGAAATATAATCCTTTTCTCTGGGAGACGGCCTCGGGCTGGCTCTCACGGTGAGGCCGTCAAGAAGCCTCTACTGTGATGCGCTGCCGAACGTTCGGTGCAGAGTGCAAGAACAAAAATTGCCACCTTAGTAACAGGCGCCTGGTAATTAGAGCCGGATCTTATTACGGAAGCCATTCATACCCTTGGATCAGCAGACTTTGGGAGAGATCGACTGAAATGAATGAGCTCGATAATATTTATTGCCACAGCTGTTAATATATGTACAGTGGATATCGTCGCAATATCAGTCGGAGCGGTGCTAGGAGGCAAGGAATGAGCTCGTACGCGATGCTTTCTATCACTGGTAGCTTTCTTTCTGCACTGATTGCTACTAGTAGAAAGCACGAGAGGTCATCCCACACCTTTTGACGCCTCCTCGACTGAATACGACGATATCAACTATGCATGTGATATCACTGAAACGCTTTCCCGTTTCAAGCTCCTTGGGTCCGTTCCCTCCGTTGCACACCGCAAATAGGTAAATGCCTGCGCAATGTTCAAGCCAATTAGGCTGCTACCCTATGATGGCGAGTGGTCCCTCGACTGAAAAAGTAATGAGCGACGCGTAGAAAGTGTTTTTTTGACTCAGCCCGTGACGTAAAGGGTAGCAGGGCTACAGCATGGGGGATGCTGCGAAATGTCGCAGTGTGAGTACGATCCCCCCCCCCATATGAATGGTGGTCCCAGGCACGACCCCCCTTAGACTTTTTCGGCCGACGCCGGACCAACGACGCGAGCAAGCATGCAGGATATATCGGCGAAAATGGTTGATCACAAGAAAATAAATACCACCCCCCCCCTTTCCACAGAGTAGAAAACAACTATCAAAATTAAATTTGTCTTACCGAAAGTACGCCCCCCCCCTCCGTCCCCAGAGCCAAAAAAACGCGACCCCCATGGGTTTGACACAACGATGTTGTACCCTGGAAAAGGAAGAATCCCGCGCATCATATCGAAATCTCAGTGTGGCGACTAGCTTGCATACCATATAGGACGACAAGGGTGGAGTAAGCTGGACACGCGTGAAGAACAAAAAAGCCACAAAAAACATGCGTTCCTGCCTCTACGATAGGCCCCCTTTTGATCCCTTTTTGACTGACCCAATTTATCTCTGTCTCCCATTAACTGACGCCATGATACGCACAGCTGTATTCTAACCATATGAACACTACGGACTCATAAAAATGACGATTTTCATGCTTTTTACGTCCAACGATCCTCGTTTCTCCAGCTGAAAGACGGGCTTTGAGGCGGGAGTCTGGAGGCGGGCGGCGGGCAGTCACTGGAAGACAAGGAAGCAAACACTGAACCTACGTGTGCCTATAGCACCCCCTTTGTCCCTTAAAATTTGCCGGCGAAACCGTGGTGCAAGGTTAGTTCGTCGACGGACCTCTCAACCTCCTGGACGGGCATATTATTCAACTTCGGCTACGCTGGGATCGCGGAGCATGACTCTTAAGCGGACGCAGTGTTTTAAGGATTACACTGTAGTTGAAGTCCCTTTTACGATGACGATGAGCAGGTCTGCAGTTGCACATAGTGTACCAGGTTACCATTTGAAAGTACATGATAAGAGCGTCATGAGCTCGTGAACCCGCCTCCAGCTTTAGTCCGGCTCGACTGCAGGCGTACCGAGATAGATAGAATCCACGATGCCTCGTTAGTGACTGCGTTAGTCTTTTGACCAGCGAAGAGCAGATGGCAGGTTACTCGTTTAGTCGCAAGCCGGAAATAAAGTGTCGCCCGAGCCAGAGCTTGTCACTTTACCAAGCCGAAAGATCGCAAGTTAAACGTTAAGATATTTCAAATAACATGTAGCAAAAGCAAGTCAGATAAGGACATAGGGCATCTAAGATTCATATTTTGAGAATTTAGTGTAGCCATCACGCACCGATATGGTTCCAAGATTCGTAACCGTGTTCGGTGTAGTTTGTAAACTGTGTTGATAAGATTGTCCCTACCCGACCCTAAAAAGGAAACCATCAAAATCGAAACAAGTATTGCGATTAGGCATGTCGTCAAGCACATCAAGACAAGCGTATGGCCACACTACTGATAAACTGACAATTGATAGATGTCGAGCTTCCCAATTAGATCTAGCTTTTTTCACGACCCAATTTTTGCCACACGTCTTTGTGACAGAGAAATTGAAATTCGCCCTCATAATCGCGCAAAGATAGGACATCCACAAAAAGAGATTCATCGGTCCAGCATGCAGTTCCTTGAGCTTTCGTGACCGCGCGCTAGCTTCTCTGCTTGTACGACCCTAAATAATTAGCAAGAAAACCCACGTCCGGGTGTTGTGAACTGTGGGCAATCGGAGGAGCCCTCCTTGGCCATCGATAGCAATATGTTGAACATGAGGTCCTGAAAAAATCAAATTTGAGTTTTGCCGGAAACTCTGAATTAGGCGATTATGAGCATGTTTACGCTTGAAGTGGAGTGCCCTTTCAAAGGAGAACGACAACGGAAGTACTTTCTTCGCAAGAATACTAGAATTGTTCCACGAAATAGTCTGCAGGTCTTGAAGGTTTCTCACTTGATACCCTTCTTTTCTTTCTTTCTCTATTTTCCTAAGCTTTTCGTTTTTTTCTCGTTTTTCCATACCTTTCTCACCCCTAACATGAAGAAATGACACCAAGGACAACCACACCAAGGACGAAAATCTGCAGCTAAGCTGTTGTAATTCCCAGTCCGATAGACCTGTACGCGCTGTATTGCGGTATGAGCACTTTCTGCTTAATGTTGGCTTCAGCAGAAAAAGTCATGTGACACTTCAAACGCGACCTCCGAACGCTGGCGTAAAAAAACAGTACTATGTTACTCATGAAATATTTAAGATATTTTCAAGGCACCTCTTAATACTTGATTTCAGCTTTTGCGGTAGATAGAACACTGAGGGGTGTTCAAAGGTACAGGTTAAGTGAAGAAAGAAAAACTTTCCAGAAGACATTGTCTTGCCTCTATCTAAGAGACTACCGCTATTTCGTTGGCCCCTGGGCTCATCAGTAAGGTAAGACGGGGCTTTGAAAGAAGCAGTGCTGTCATCCATTCCTTGAATTTTTGAGACCTTTCCTCCCATAACCCGAGGAAGATGAGTTGACCGAATGGAAGCGCGACCCTCACAATTCCTCATATCAAATGGCAGAAAAGGAAAATCCATATGAGACTCTAACTCTGCTCTGAATATTCCCCAGGTCTCATCAAATAAGCTCCAGGGTCAAATGACAGTATTCTTATGACCGCCTTTTATTTCAAATCTTTTTTTAACTGGCTAACCATACTGCTTTGATACTACTTTAACAATAATCAGAGTTCTCTGTTAGGCAACGGATTGAACTTTCAAAGAACATCTGAGTCCATAGACTAATGACATGATCATTTTACCAAAAAAAGGTGTTCATGAGGAGAAGAGAAAAGGAAGGAGAGATTAAGGAAAAAAGAAAGAAAGAAAGAAAGAAGAAGAAAGAAAGAGAAGAAGAGAAAGAAGAAGAAGAAAGAAAGAAAAAGAAAGAAAGCCTAAGAAGCAAAGTCTAGTTTCAGTTCCGAGTCTACAAAAGGATTGTCTCGAGAGATTCAAACGTGTATTCCATATCACGCCCCAAGAAAGGCAACATGGACGTACGCATAACTGAAAAACAACAAAAAAACCACAACAATATGCGGCTCCTAAGTTTGATGGCCATAATGTCCCGAGTAATGAGCTGCTGTTTTTAGAAAGCAGCTCATTACTCGGGGCATTATGGCCATCACAGGGGGTCACAGGACAGAGGACGATATGAAGTTATTTTTATCGAGCAGAATTATTTAATTTGGCTAGATTTGATGTTATACTTCTGTGCCAACGAGCTTTGTAGGTTTAACTTTATTAACGGCCTAACGTTTCGACCAGATCGTCGTCCTCAGAGGCCAAGTCCACCGCGGCATGAGCGGATCAACGCCGCTCCACTAGTTGTTAGTAACGTACTTACTTTAATTCCTGCTGCTGTAGAGTACATTGTACATGTCAGTACGGTAGAACCCTATGCGACTTAAAATGGACGTCTTGCTCCAATTGGAGATTTACACAGTAGAGTACAGTGAATACGGAAAAATGCCAAGGCAAATGACTATTTTTGATGGACAAACAGTCGAATAGGTATGATGACAGCTGCTACGGCTCTATGTACTCTGTGTGTACAATGACGGTGTAGGTGGACACGCCGCTTTTGTGCGCCAGTTGCCAAAATGTATGTTATAGTCACGTGCACTCAGACACATTATGAGGATATTTTTGAAAGTACTATCCCTTCCACAAATTGAAGACGGCTTCTCCCCCGCCCTCACCCTCACCGGGGAGTCTTCAGAAAAACTGCTAAATGAAGCACACCCCAGAAGGCAACCGGTGAGAATGAGGGCGGGGGAGAAGCGGTGCTGATCAGGTAATCAAAGCTCGTAAGAAAGTCGCAGACCTCGCGATGTTACCTCGGTCCACCATTCTCTATGCATTTCTGCATCTGCTCATGGAGAAACACGAACATCGGCTTGGCAATAAAATCGCGTAGAGTACATACAATGGAGTACACGCTTTTATCTGGACTATGCAGGCTGCATAATACTGGAGACCATGGGCTGTCGGGCAAGTTAGAGAAAAGGCGACGTTTGAAGAGCACTCAAAATAACATCGCTTGGCATCTTCTGGTGAACCTATGTGTGAAAATGGCAGCCAAGCCTGTGGCTGGTCCATTTCGAATATGGAGTGATCTTGAGCAAGGTTGTGCTCCGCCTCCTTCATATATACGTAAAGACAGTTGCAAGTGATGGAAAACGGGTCTGAATATGAACATCTAGTAGTTGCCAGTACCTTCGTCAATGAAGGAAAACACTTAAGAAACCGTCGAAAGGGCCCTAATATTGTCGAGCTAAATTTCATAAGACAAGCCCGAATAAGTCGATCACAACGCCAACGTCACGCAGCATTCGTACGTGAGCACTTGTACCAATCCTGAAGGGTTCACGACCGTCAGTACCTCCCCACCGTCTTTTACACGCACTTTAAGTGCAGTAGTGGTTCACCCTAGGCCGCTTTCAGCCTGCGTCCTTCTCATAAGGACATTAGGACATTCCATCTCTTATTTGATTCCTTCCCAAGGAAAACGTGAATTTGAGGGACCTCGGATTAATCTAAGCTGTTGAACAGTCCACGGGAATTGCACATTTAATGAAATACCGGAATTTTTTCATTTTTTTTTTTTTTAACTGATCGGCGAACTTCGCATCTATGTGACCATATAGCGCAGGTTCACGGAGCCTACGCCGACCTGAATTGCCTACGTTGTCGTGACAATCTGATGAGCTCTATCGCCCGTCGTTTTCTAGCCTCTCTGCCGTACCATTGTCCCAAGTTTTCCCAAATCTACAAGGCTCTCACTTTTCC